GACGGAAAAGTGACGAATCGAAAGTATCGTGAGCGCGTATTATGATGTATGCACAGGCATATGTGGATTAGAGCGATGGAGAAAAGAGAAAGGAAAGAGCAAAGACCCGCGCTTAAAAAGAAGGATAGGCAGGGTCAGACCCTCAGATGTGCGAGGATTCTCCAACGATAGACGTGTACGTGTGCTGATCTTTGTAATTATAAATTGTGAATACATGTGACTAATATTATTTTCTTTTTTATTTTGTGCATGTTACAAGTTATAAATAAATATAAACAAACAACACTAACTCGATAACATTAAATCTAAGTACCAAAACGATTAATTTACTGTGTTTTTGTTATTTCTTACTCCTGTTTTTAGGTATTCGGTATTTGGCCGAATAGTGAAAAATAGGCCGAATACCGAATAGTAACCGAATATTCGTTACATCACTAGTAATAATACTTTACAAAAAATTTAGCTCAGAATGGATAAATACTTTAGTTATACCTGAATTGAATTTGAGATATATATTTCAAATTCAATTCAGGTATATATATATACACTAATCTAATTCATCCAAAGTTGTTTATGTATTTTGACTGAATTTTTTGAAAAAATTATCTAATAGCTAATTCATGGAATCTGAGCATAGGAGATGCCAAAAATATACAGTAAATACACAGGCTGATCAAAATTGACCTGGATTTGTAAAATAAGAACAAGTCTGCTCACAAGGATGAAACTGTGTACACTCCTCAAATTACTCTCCTGCTACACATACAAATTTGATCCACTTTTCTGGTAGTGATTGTATTCCATTGGCAAAAAAAGTTTGGGAACATTGCCACAGCCAATGTCACATAGCTGCTTAAACTTAGCTGTTAGTATGGAATTTTTGGCCACCCAAATGCTCTTTCATGGATCTCATGGTGAAAGATTGGGACGGTATTGTGGATGATCCAGAACTGAGAGATGTCAGTATTTGAACAGTGTGGATAGCGAGATAATTGCTTATTCCTCAGAACAGGTTTAAATTTCGTTTCTGAACGTTGGCAGGTCAAATTGCGGTAATATTGGAAATTGATTGTAGCCTTATTTTCCAGAAAATCAATGTAACTGATGCTGTGTCACAATCTCAGAAGAAATTGTTTGACTTTAATATAGTTATATTACAGCTGATCAGACTTTGAAATGTTTATATATGTATCCCAGAAGATTATTGCAAGGACTTTTCTGGCACTTTTCAATTTTAAATTTCTTGGGAGTGGAAAATTCCTTTCTTCATTCAGTACTTTCATTCTGCTTTCAGTTTCACATTTCATAGCAGGTGATAATCTTATTGAGGAAGCAATTTCCTTTGTTTGTTGTATCATTCCAACAACTGACTGAACACCTCTATACTTTATGCCTCTGATCAAATGCTAAGTTTTAGGAACCAATTGGGCAGAGACCTTTTGAAAGCATAGATGATTATGAATAATGCTTTGTGCATACTGTAACTGATATTCAATTTCATGACCACATCTCACACTGTAATAAGATGGTTTTAAAAAATTACAACAAAATCAAAAAAACTTAATCAACAAATCTGTACTTTTTCCAGCAAGAGTAGTGACAAATGTCTTTGGTCTAATTCAGTGTTTTTCAACTTTCTTGAATATGTGACCCCTTTACAAGTTAAAAAATTCTGGCGACCCCCAGGGCCATATTAAAACTATGTCAGTGATTTTAAAAACTACGTATTTAATTTTCTTTCTGTTGAGACCTAAATATCGATTGAAAAACCAATTATACTGTGCAAAGAAGTTGCAAGAGCCTGCAAATAGTAACTTTGCCATGGGGGCGCTGGAAGCAAGTGCTCCTCATGCCACCTGCACAGTAATGTACACATGCTTTCTTTTGTTTCCATCAGTTGTTCAAATGCACCAACAAGTACAGACGTGATTGTATTTTCTTTGCGCTTTGCTTCACACAAGCATAAAATGGACAAGTTTCTCAAAAGATCGCAGCCCTCCACGTCTGGTACAAGTGGCAGTGACGGAAGTCAATCAAAACCAAAAAAAATAGACATTGCGATGACAATTACTTGAAATATGGGTTTACTGTCATGAATAATAAACCTCATTGTGTAATTTGTGGCGATGTATTATCACGTGAGAGTATGAAACCATCAAAGCATATGCATCACTTCTGAACCAAACATTCCAAAGAAGCTCACTGAAATTGTAGTTTTTTTTTTATTGTAGGACCATGTAGGTCCTACACTACAATAAGCCTTGCATGGGGTCACGGGTAAAAGAAAAAGACAAGTATTTGTAGGACCTACAAATACTTGTCTTCTTCTTTTACCTGCGACCCCCATGTAAGGCTTTGTGATCCCCTGGGGGTTGCAACCCATAGGTTGAAAAACACTGGTCTAATTCTTAGGCAAAGATATTTGTCATTACATTAAGAGCTCTTGCTGAAAAAGAAGTAAAGGTTTTTATTTACAGTAGAGTGTCATTTATCTGAAAGCATTCCAGTCCAAGGTCTTAGACCTTGATTCCAGTCGACAAATTTTAATTTTAGCTAGTACTGTGGCGCTGCAATCTTTGGCTATATCTTGGGCTACTCCAATATTTTTTTTGTTGGTGTGTGTGTTTTAGCTAGCAGTACTGGCACTTTTGTGTGTTGTTTTTTTGAGGACTGTGTGTCGTGCTGAATTGAACGTTTTTCATACTAGATCATCTTCTAAAGTATATATTTTTTGGTTTTTATATTTTTCAATATATTTATTTTGTTTGTAAGAAATAAAGAAATAATTTTTAACGATACAATAGCCACGATTATTATTTTAAAAAGTATACGATAGGCTTAACATCGATGAAAATTCAACACGAAGCAACACGCAACAGAGAAAAATTTCAACATAGGATAGGTTAATATATTTTTTCGTACGTAATCGGTTATCCGAAAAATAAGTTATCCAAACAACCCCAGTCCCCAATTGATTCGGATAAATGACGCTCTACTGTACTTGGTTAAGGTGATTTCCAAAATCAGCTTCTCAACTTTTTCAATTTTTACATAATTCAGGAGAGAATATGGAGAGAACACAATTTAGACATTGTGTTCTCTCCATACTGATGTGACAATCAATGATGAATTTTGGCAAGTTTGATTGTATTCATTGTACAAAATTTCATAATACACCTCTATTCCATTTTCACACTAACAAGTTTGCCACCATGTCTAATGAAGTAAAGGTAAATGACTGGGTGTTCTTTACTGCAATCTTGCCATATGCAAGAAATATCACTCTAAAATATATGACAGTAAGAGCAAGGCAGATGTACTATTTCAGAAATATATTATAAATTCTGGGTCAGTTTTGATCAATCATTGTAGTAAATTTTATCAACTAAAGCTATAGCTTAGTTAACAAGTAATACATATAAAATAATTAAAATTTAGATCAAACTTTACCAGTAAACATTCAATAATACTGTAGCTTCTGTGCAAATCATGAGGGAACAAATTTAATAATTTTAACATTTCTGTTCCATTTGTAACTAAAAAATAATGTATTATTTTATAAAAAATTTTCATTATCATTAAGTTTTAAGCATCATTATTATTTTTTATTTTTAATGTAGAAATTTGTGCTATTAACATAATAGAAGTAATAGTTTAAATTATTTAGCTAGATGATGATGTAGTGAATGAATTGATGAATGAAATTTGGAAAGGTAAGTTTGATTTCAATGAAAATATTTAGAATAAAATGATAAAATTTATTTATAAAATGTTTCTTATTTAGAATGTGATCACTTAATACAAGATTTGCAGTCATTACAATTGTATGATGCTCCAAAGATTCTCCAATCTACAGCTGCTGCATCACAACAATGTAGCAATTGGATTCTCTCTAAAACATTTCCTCATTTTCTTCATATGTTTGCTGCTACTACAAAAGTATGTACTGTATATTTATGTTAAATTATTCAATTATCAGTTATCTGAACTTTTCTGATATTAAGTTATTGCATTAATAGGATGCCTGTGACTTACAAATAAACTTTAATGTTATTGGTTAAGATAACTAAATACAAATAACAAAAGATAAAATTTATTGATTCTGTTTATGTATTGTTTCATTTCAGAGCTCATTTTACTAAAGATATTAAAATATAAGATTTTATAAAATTGTTAAATTTTGAAGAAATAAAATGTAATTTTGAATGAGATAATTTGTTAGAGCTAATAAATTTTATATTGAAGTATACATTGAATTATCAACTTCATTATTACAACTTTATATTATGTGACAATGTGCAAAGTGCCCCGTCTGCTTTCGCAACACAGGACTGAAGAGTTGACATCGTGTCGGTGATGACAAAGTTGTCAGGACTGACACCACTGTGGCTTAAGGACAGACACAGAAACCTCGATGGCCTTTTTTGTTCATTTTTACACAAGTGATCACGTGTGTAGTCACTTGGATTCAGGATGGAGATGGATTGGGTGAAAGAAGGGCACTCAACTACCGGGTTTCTAAACAATTACCCATTTTATTGTATAGACTTATTTACACATAGTATACACATTAGAATTAACTGTATACAGCATCCATAACTATCATTGATAAAGATGAAAGTTATGGATGCTGTATACAGTAAATTCTAATGGATGAGATATCATTCTCAACAACATTCTATTAAATCCCTAACAGAGAGAGAGAGAGAGTTTACAATCAAAATCGAGATTAGGTTGATAAATACCTTTTGAATTTTATAGTGAGTTCTTTCTTATGGACTTCAAGACTTGAGTGATAGGTGATGGAAAAGTTGGTGAAGGTAGAGGAGAAGAAGTGGATATAATGTCTTTGGACGAGGCATAGTTTTCTGATCTGTAGAGGTCCTCAAAAAATGATTTGACAACAGGGATGTTTATTGATCATCCCAAGTAGGTTAGAGTCAAGGTCTGCTATCTCGTCAGAATTCAAGTTCTCTGGCTGTGCAATTAATTTGGATATCAATTGCACAACCAGAGAACTTGAATTCTGACGAGATAGCGGACCTTGACTCTAACCGACTTGAGATGATCAACAAACATTCTTGTCATCAAATCATGTTCTTTTATTTTGGAGATCCTCCCCCTTGCTACTTTTGCCCTTTTTTGGTTAATTGTGAAGTCTGTATCCAATAGCAATTTTTTTTTGTTAGTTCTTGGTGACACATCCAGATGTGTCATTGCTGGACAAGGAAGTAAGTCCATGGGAAAGGATATAATCATCTTTTTTGATTGTTTTTTTCTTTCGAACAATTTTTGAATAAACTTTTCTTCAAGTTTAGGCCTTCACATCTATATTTTAAAATAAAGAGGATTATTAAAACTGAATTGCATATTGGAACATGCAATAAAATTATACATATGACAATATGATAGGCAACTATTTTTATCTTAATTTTCTTCTTTCATGAGAATACATTATCTGAAATATAATAAACTTTAAATAAATTTTAAATATTTATTTTATAATATTGTACTTCTAACACAAAAAGTTGAATATTATTAAATTTTATAATTATTCAAATAATAACAATTATTACTTCAGGAACTGTTTACTGTCTACTTGTAAAACATTTTCAACCTTAATTTAGGTTATCTTTAGTATCTACGTTTGAATGATTCATTTTATAACATCAAACACCAGAATTTAAAATTTCTGTGCTTTTTTACTCAATTTAATAGGTTTTGTAATAGGTTCCAGAAAAATTGTTCTCTTGACCTATATATTCCACATTGTGGAATATATATTCCATTGTGGCATACCACATGCATCTGTTTTATTTAAAACTCTTCTATGCTTACTAAAAATTAAAATATGAACCTGTTCTAACAATCTGAGTGGGTTTCTTTATCTTCCTCTTTTAACAGTCTAGCATTATTCCAATTTATGTTAACATTAGCTTTAATTAATTATTTGCCTTTCACCATGCTCACATAGTGGAAGGCAGATAAGTAGGTTTTAAGATTTCTAAATGCTCTAAGATTTTTTTTAATTCTTATAGCTACAGATCTCAGTGTGGAACCTATGAGGGCAGGCTGAAAAGTAATGCACACATGCTTGTAGAACATGAACAAAAACAAATAGCAAGATCGGGCAAAAAGTACTTTAAAGTACAATTCTTAAGCTTCAAAATCATATATTTATTTTTCCAACATAGCCTTAATGATGATTAACACATTTCTCCCAACGTGTAACAAGTTTTTTCATTCCGTCGCTGAAAAATTCTTCCAACTTTTCTCAAATCCAGGACTTGACAGCTGCCTTCACCTCATCGTCTGAGGTGTAATGATTACCCTTGAGGTCTCTCTTAAGTAGAGGAAACAAATAAAAATCACAAGGCGCAAGATCGGGGGAATAAGGAGGGTGTGGAATCGGTTCAAACTTCAGGTTTCACAGAGCTTCTCAGTTATGCACAAGGTGTGTGGACGAATGTTGTCATGTTGCAAGATTATTGGTGCCAGGCTGCCTCTAACATGTCAAACTCAACGTCAGAGGTGTTTTAGAGTCTTATGTACTGAGAAGAATTAAACATTGCAACAAGGTGCAATGGTAATTGTCTGTGGCAGTGATCGGACTTCTACTGTGTGTTTCATCAACAATTATGGCTTTTCCAGGCTCGCAACCACAAAATTTTATTATCCATCAATTTACAATACACCTATCAACAGCATTATCACCATAAACAGCCTTTAAATGTAATTTTTTCAGCAGTTAAAAATTCAATAACAGCACACTGTTTAACTCGCATTGACATAGCACCAGAACATGTCTCCATATTTCCTCTTCTCAAAATATACTGAATAAACGCAACAACCTCAAACTGCGCATACACATAGAGGGAGAATATTACTTCCATATGCCACCTGGCACACTTCTGAAAATCATTTCGTTTATGCTCTACAAGCATGTGTGCATTACTTTTCAGCCTGCCCTCGTATATAAGAGGCTGACTTAATACTCTCTTTCAGACCTACAACATAAATTTCTGGTTTACTTATTTCTTCTGTAAGATGTTTATCTCTCCTAATCATATCCATAACTATGGGATCCCTTTTGCTAACAATGCAATATTGCAAATTTTTCATTACTTGGTTAAGTATATTGGATAAGACCTTACTCTTAATGATAATCTTTTCTCTACTTTAGTTGTATTTCCTAAATGTATTATTTTGTTAACCTTAATGCTTTTTATAATTCCTTCTACTACTTCCTTTGAGAAACCATGTAGTTTTCTAGTTTAATAATTTTATTTATTTCTGTTCTACTGTTTTATCCTCTGGGAATTTGGAATGAATAAATTTGATTGATAAATGCATAAATATATTGTTAATACATATATTTTTCTTCATTATCCATTAACAATGAAACTGAACAATTTTATTGGCATTTTATATTAAATATGTTACCTAATTTTGTTTTTCTTTAATATTTATTATTTTTTATTATTAATATTAATTAGTAATGTTTTTAAATTTGTTTAACTAAATCTTAATTGTAAATTATTTAAAAATTAACAAATATGACCTACTATTTTGACAGACAAGCTATTTAATAATAAATTATATTCAGTTTGAATCTCTGATAATAAATATTCATTGCATATACAAAATCAACTATAAATTTATTGTTTTTAGTTATATAATTTATTTATTATGTCGATGAAATTTCATAATTCTATATTGTATTATGTCAGTAAATGATATTTATTTAATAGTAAAATATAGATAGTACCAAAATATATTGTCGTCATCAAATGGTATACAATATCACATATATTGTTAACAAGTAACATTTGCTGTGAATTTGGTGTAAGTCTTTTTCATACCTAAATGTAATAGTATTATTTCTAGAAAAAATTTGTCTAGTTTGGTAAAAACTTAGAATAGTAAAAATACTGTAAATAACTTCAGTTTGTAATTTTTTATAATGCACTTTGTTGCATTTTTCATAGTTATAATAGACTAGTTTAAATTTTAAAAAAAGTGCATTTTGATTTTTATGTTTTAAAATTAAACATGCAAAATTTTTATAGACATTGTTATTTTTTATATAGACAACTGAGAAACAATTTATTCTTGAACTTCTAACACAGTTTTTGAGAGTTACTAAACAATATGCAGATTTTCAAGATGGTATGTATTAATATTTATATGATTGTTATATTATTAAATAACTGAGCTTTTTATTCAAATAAGAAAAACTAATAATAATTGTGATAATTTAAGACTTGTTTTTTTTGTATAAATTTTTATTCTAGATTTTGATTTAAGAATTTTTAATGAAAATTTGCATTAATTAGTCATTGTTAAAAAAATAATAATAATACATTGCTATTTAAAAGAAAACATTTATCTATTGTACAATGAAATCTATTGTTCAATGAATAATTGAAACTACAGTGTAGGACCATTAAGCTGCAGGCCATTAATCCGTGAATTCGCTTAAGCCGTGCAAAAAGCTTGGATCCCAATTTTTTGGACCTGGACATGGCCTCTCAAACACCTGAGACAGGTGTTGACAGCTGGCATTTTGGCTTTTTGAATGTCCATGATTGATGTGCTATGCACTATCACAGATTAAATATTTAAATGCTGGCTTATAACTTCAAAGAGGTATTTATAGAAGATTAGTCTTTTAATTATCAATAAACAATAAAATAACTTACAATAAAATTCAAATACAGTATTAATCTATTTTATCCACGTTGAGTGTCAGTTATGGAGGCTGCCATTGTAACCAATTCACACCTTACAATGCTACAAAGTTAATCTGAAGTAAATCCATGGATCACCTAAGCCATGGTTAAGCAGTTTGGACCCCAATCACTGTGGCTTAATGGTCCTACACTGTATTAAGGACAGAATAAAAATTATTCTTTGAAGTGATCCTTTTAAATGTTTTATTGATGTGATAAATATCTGATAATTGGGCTGCAATTTGAAAAATTTATAAATCTATAAATTCCCACTGTTGTCCATCTGCTTATCTATCCTTTCTTAATCTCAAGAATGGAGTTACATAGATGAAAATTGAAACCAGATATGGAAAGCTTAGGGGAAGAAAGCCCCGATTAATTATATATGAATTTCTGGTTTGCACCAGAAGTCGTTATTTAAATTCAAAAATTTTCCCCTGGAAGGAGTTAGGTAGATTAGCATGACTCTTGCTAGCAGGAAGAGTATGATATACAGGAGCAAGACATTATTAATAAAATATTTTTAAAAAATCAATGGAGTCAGATAAATTGTCTTTACCCAATTGTACTATTAACTAGTACATGGAAAAATAATTCTCCTTTTCTCTCTGACTTCTGGAGGCTTAAAAAATTCCAAGCCTGTAGACTGGTATAAAAAACAAAAGGACCAACAGGTTAACTTTAAGAGAAAAAATATTTTTTTATTTTACACTATACTTCACCCCAAATGCACTTTGCCTTTTTTGGCCTCTTCAGTAGGGTTTCTTACAACCAGAATGTAATACAGTTTATCCATTAGAAGACACATCATTAACACAAGTACCATTGCGTTTACAGCTATTATGTATTATCAACTCTTCCCAGCATTCTGCAGGTATCATGCCATTATTTAAATTCATAACATTTTTTGCATAACAATTGTGAAATGTTCTTTGAATTTTCTTTTTACTATATTTTTTCCCTATTTAAGATTTTTACATTATTAATATCAACTTGGCAATTATTCACGTGACAATGTAAGAACACTGGAGATGTATTAACTTTAAGCCTCACCGCAGCCAGATGTTCCGACATCCTCACTTTCAGTTTTCTCTTCATTTCACCAACATAATAATTTGGTATTCTACATGTACACTGGAGTCTATAGATCACTCCTTCTTCTTCCGATAGCTCTTTATCCTTATAAGGTTCAGTCTTTATTAGTCCAAATATCTATTTTTTTGGAATGGGGCCAATTTAATTGTATTTTCACAAAAAAATTTTTTTCAAAAATATCCTTAATGTACGGAAAAGAGACATACGTATTAATTTCTTGCTTTTTCTTTACTTGAAATCTGCTCTCTAAATATTTATCATACCAATTCTTTAACAATCTTCCCGGGTAACTGTTTAACAAATACTTCTTGTTCACCTTTTTAATTTCTTCATCATTGTTATTAATTCTAGTTGTTCTAGAAAAGATCTTACTTATTTCATTAAATAAATATTTCTTTTTTGGCTAATTGGGCAATAAGATTTAAAGTTTATAACTTTATTTGCATTACAAGGCTTTTTATACTTATTATACTCTAAATGATCTTTAAACCTAACTATTGTTATATCTAAGTAATTAAGTTTATCAGATATAGGTAAACTTGATATATTCATTAATTTCATTGGCTTTCTTTAGTATTTTCTCAGAGGATGTTATTTTAGTATTGTGTATAATAAATATGTCGTCTACATACTGTGCAAGGAATACTATTCCTCCTAATAATGACAAGATTTTATCTTTGTTTATTATGACTATTTCTGCCAGTTTTGGGCCAATAATCGAACCCATAGATATTCCATCCCTTTGTTGGTAATACCTTCCATTGACTGTAAAGAAATTATTATCCAATGCAAAAGTCACTAATTTTATTAAATATGTAGGGGTATTGTACTTATGTAAACTCTGTATGATCATTTCTTTTTTGATTGAAGGATAAATTGATATGATATCCAAACTCATTAACCTATATTCAGGTAAAACTCTTCCTGCTTTTAATTTTGAAATTAAACTATCAGCATTTTTTATACTGAATTCCGAATTTGATATAGTCTGTAAAGATTTCTTTAAAAAATTTCCAAATTATATAACAATGTCATCTTAAAATCTACTATAGGTCTGCATTTATTTTGCTTGTGTCTTAATATGAACATTTAATTTAGGCACTCTCACATTTTCTCCTGGAGATATTTCTTTACTTTCAGCCATTGAAATAGTACCTTCTTTTAATAATTTTTTCAGTTTTCTTCAATGATTTTTGTATATCGTTTGTTGGATCTTGTTTTAATTCTTCAAAATTTCCTTCTCTTATGATTTCTTGTTTTTTCTCATCCAGATCTTGTAAATTCAATATTATAACTTGTAATTTATCTGCTTTAACAATACATAAATTAGATTTTTGGAGGAATTTTCTTAATCTATTATATGTACCTATATGCTGATTAGTCTTACGATCCATTATGTATCCTTTTTTTGTATTAAATTTCTTTAAATCCTCAGCAATCTTTATCTTTAGTTCTTATTTTTCTTTTTTATTGTAATTTAATACAACGTTGTGTTAGCACAATGTTGGAGCACGGCTACAGGTGTTTTGTTGTCTAGCTCCACGGTTTGTCGCTGTCTGCTGCAGCATAAACTGCGTGCAAGGGTTCCTCTATGCAGGATTCCCCTCTTGCTGATTCACAGATGCTTTCGACTTCAATGGGCTCAGCAACACAGCGCATGGCGTACCCAGTGGCAACAAGTTGTTTTTTACGACAAATCTCGCTTTAATCTGCAGTGTGATGATGGAAGAGTAACATCTGTAACATCTGTAATCAGATGTTACAGAGGGGAACATCTGCTCCCACAGTGTGTTATCCAGCATCATACTGCACAAATGCCTGGTATCATGGTGTGGGGAGCTATTGGGTATAATTGTTGATCCCATCTAGAGCACATTGCGGGCAACCTCAACAGTGATCGCTACATATGGGAAATTGTGGAACCAGAGTCCTCCCCCTTCTTCAACACATTCCAGATGCTGTATTTCAGCAGGATAATGCCCATACACAAGTTTCTCAGACTGCACAAGCCTTCTTCAGTGCACAACAGGTTTTGCTTCTTCCATGGCCTGCTTATTCCCTGGATATGTCACCCATCAAGCATATCTGGGATTTCATTGGTCATACAGATGGTCATACAGCGACTCGCTCATACAGATGGTGGGGCATACAATAAGACTGAACTTTGGTGTCAAGTCGAAGCCATCTGGAATGCCATTCCCTGGGATTACATTCAGAACCTGTATGATTCAATGCCCCGACGTGTACAGGCTCTCATCGCTCAGCGTGGTGGGCACACAAAGTACTGATTTCTGACGTTCTTTTTGTTTTTTTTTTTTTTTTTTTTCTTGTGTAAATTTGATCATTTATTTGTATCACTATCAGTAATATGTGGAATAAATTTCATTAATTTCTGACAATATCTTCATGGTGTTGCAATTTTCACAAACATGAGTGTACATTTTAATTTGTGAATCTTAAATTCTTTTTCTATAGTAAATGTTTTGGTATATACTGACTGATCTTGGTCTTAATGCTAATTATTGTTAATACTGTATATTTGTTAAATAATAATCATTATTTAACAAATATACAGTAATTATTTTATTTATTAACAGAAAATAATCCATATAAGAAGCATCAAAGGTCTCTGGTTGGATTATATTGTTTCTCACTTAATATGAATAATGAACAACTATTATCATCAGCAATTAAAGGATTGAAAATAATTTTATCAATAAAAGATATGATTGGAAAAGATTATCTAAATCCCATTACAGAATGCATTTTAACAATTGCAATTTCTAATAAACCATCTACAACAAGGTCAGATATGTGTTTGTGTGTATGTATGCATATATAATTTAAAAAAATTATTGTTATGAGAAGTGTTTTAAGAATTTTTTCCTTCTTGTAGGACAAACTGTATTGAATTATTATCTGTTTATTCAACTTATTATCCAGTTGAAGTTAAAGAAAAAATTCTTCCTCATCTATTCCATGAAGTTGCAAAAGGTAAGAACTATTTTTGTGTCAGACCTGAATATTCATGTTCATTATTTTTGTGTGTAAGCTAAACATAAGTATTAGATTGGGCTTAGTCATCTATGAACTGTTGTAAGTGAGAAGTGGTCATTCACTACCCTTAATTTGATTTGGAGTAAACCTTTCATTTCAGTAACTAATATGTTAACTAATATGCAAACATATAGAATAACTATTTAATTTGAATATTGTACTAGGATATTCATAAAGTTGAATGAGTCAAACAAATTACTAATGAGACAGTCATAAAATATTTCTTATCTTCATTGCCCATGTTCTGTATTGATGACATTTCAAATGAAACCTTAATGTAAACTAATTTTTTTTTTGTGAATTTTATCATAAAGAAAATGGTATCTGACAATATTGATATTTCTAAATTCACTCAGAGTACAGAATATGGATTAAAAGGCAAACTAACACAAATAATTGCCCTTGTGCCCAATCAGAGAAAAACATTTCAAATATGACTGCACTAATAACATTCATGGATTCAATCCTTAGACACCAGCCATTTTGTACAAAAACTGGACAAAATGTCCAGCAAACATAAACATAATAATAACATTATTCTTTTATTTTCTTGTTGGAATCACCAGCTATATTTCAATTTACACAAGGTAGTTACACTTCAACACAACATGAAGTTCACTTTTAAAGACTAATGGCCTATAATGACAGCACAAAACATCTAATGTAATGTACCAGTCCTTATCATTTTCTGTATGTATCAGTGTGAAATATGTTTCATATCATGTTTGTGTACTTTTGTTTTTAAGGAGACAGTTGATTCAATACAAATTACTGATGAGGGGCCATAAAATGTAAGTTGACCCAAAATGCATGTAGTTATGTGTGTAATCAACCAAATAAACATAATTAAACTGTAAGGTTTTGATCATTAAATTACCTGCATTCCTAAACACCTTCAGACACAGTATTATGTAATTCTCAAGAAGTTTCTAATTAACATTATTCTTGTTTAACTCACATGACTTCATCAATGTGTACCCTAAATTAGAGAATTAAAATGATTACTTAAATTGAATAGTTAGAAATAAATAAGTTAACCTCCTATGATATTTGCTTATATTAATTGTAATTAATTGATACTATATTTGGAAAACATGAGCATATTTTGATATTGTCATTTAAAATGTTTAATAGTATAGCATTTGATGTTTTATTTGCATATTCTAAATTAATTTTCTGATATATTTTATTAATAAAAATATTCCAATTGAATGAAATTTTTAAAAGTTTAAATATAATAAAAACTGTTTGATATAGATATGACTATTAAGTAATAATTAGACAGCAGATTAGGCAGAAATGCTTATTTTTCCCTTAGCATATACATGGCTAAGATTTTGTACTAACTACTACAGTGAACATTTCTTTGATATAAAAAAACTTCTGGCCACTTTAGTGGACAATGCAGTTTGTGTAACTAAAGCCAAGAAAATTTTGAATGACATTTATGTTTAGAACAAGTTGGTGTACATCAAGTGTTATTTCACATTTATTGCAAATACTATTACTGCTCTTGAAAGTATTGGGAAACCTATATATGAACAAATTGATCTCCTCAACAGAGCAAACCAGAAACTTTGTGATGCACCAGGCACTGCTGCAAAAAAAGTGAAGAAAGAGTGCTTCAAAAGAGACTTAGATTAAATTGCTTGTTTGTTGTGGCTGATATTTTGGCAGGAAAGAAGAGCAAAACTGAAAGTGAATTCCCAGTTCCTCTTCTTCCAAGGTTGAAATACTGTCCATTATCTTCAGATGTGGAATACTTTTTCTTTGCATATAAATTAATTTTCAGTGACAAATGTTGCAACTTTTCTAGTGAAAATTTGGAAAAAGTGCTTGTAATATATTATGATGCTAACTATGGGAAACAGAGCAAATAAAAAATGTAAAGATAATTGTTTGTCTACTTTTGTGTTTGCATCATTCTGGATACGTGCATTTTTTGTTTGGAATACATATGTTAAATAAAAAATTCATTGTTTGATAAGTAGGTTAATTGTTCATTGTGCAAATTTTGACTGCCTATTTTTTGTTTATAAAGCCTAAACGACGCAATTTAAGAGCTTATTTTAAGCGTCTAAAATGCCACTTTTAAGCGCCTAGATGTCCGCTGTCTAGTAATAATATACAAATACAAAATTTCAAGTACATACTGTACATTTAACTAAAACAATATTTTTATATGTCAAAAAATTAACTTAATTTAACAAGTTATTAAATATGTGAGCTGAAAACATGATTTAAAATTAATTAAAAGTAATTATGTTTTAATAATGTATTAATGTTTTAATTAACCTTGGTTGATATCTGAGCCATCAATCATATAACTTCAACTAAGAAAATGTAGAAAATTATCAAATTATGATGAGAAAAATAGAGTGAAAACTCAGTTTTATAAGTGATAATTTAGTGTAATTTAGATTTGAGTAATTTTAATATTCTAAAATATTTTCTTTAAAATCTATTACATTAAATTTGTAGTCACTTCCACGGTTGAAACTACAAGACTTCAGACATTATTAGAATTTGTTACTGCTGCAAGTATTCATCACATTACATCATCTGAAATCATTTCTAAATTTTTGACTTACTTGAGAGGTAGGAATTTATCTTATATGTTTTAAAGCAATATTTTATTGTTTTAGAATATATTTCAAATAAAATTTATGAAATTAAAAAAATCTAATTTCAGATCTTTATACTGAAAATGTATTGCAATGTATTGCAAATTCATTATTACAAATAACTAAGAATCTTGTACAATCTCCAGAAGAAATTCATTATTTATACAAATCTTATTTTGAAATGTTGCAAGAGAAAGTAATTACAACTTATAAAATGAAGCAAGAAAGTTTTAGTTCTGCCGTATCAGATATATTAGGTAGAGTTGTACAAATTGTTATTCAAAAGTTAGATTTAAGGTGTGTATAAATAATTACTCTTTCAATTATTTTTAATCTTGCATCATCGGAATTGACATGTTTTTATTTTATAGTTTAACAGAAATTTTAATGTCTTATATTTTGAAGAATCTTTCTTTCTTAATGAATTCTTATGATTCTCAGGTAAGTTATACTTCAAAATATAATTAATAAATGAATTCATTTACAGGAGAAAATATATTTATTAGAAATATATATTTTTTATTTATGTATGCTGCTTTGTTTTAATTATAGATATTAAGGAATGTTAATTGTTATATACAATACAGATTATTTGAGAAAGATCTTTGTTGTTATACAAATTCATAACACAAAAACAAAATAATCTATTAAAATATGATTTGTTGTAAAGGAAGAATAAATCAAAACGTTTTTTATTAGTATACATTCAATAAACATATGAATTTCATAGATTCCTACAGAAAACTTTTCTAATCTGTTTCATAAATTCATCTGATGTCAAAGGACAGTTGTAATTTTTTGAGTGCTGAATACTTCCTGTGTTTAAATTTCTGCATCCAAGCATAAATTAAAGGGACACTTAAGTGTGCCTTTTTCATACTTTATGGAATACTTTCTTTGCACATGTAGTGATTTTGTTTCAGCTAACCACATTATATATTGTGTTTTTTCCTGTATTATTATCATTTTTAATTCTGCAGGTTTTTTGCATTTGTGCTAAAAGAACTTATTAAGTTCTTGCTTTACCTCAAACTGCATTTCAGTAGACTGCTTTGTTTTTGTATTATGAATTTGTCTAATAATAAAGGTCTTTCTTGGACATTTTGCTTATCTTGATTACAAACATTATTTTCAAATATGCTTTATTGAGTTTTTTAATAAAATTATTTTACTTAATATATTTTATTTTTATAACTGCATGCAATTTTCATATGTTCTTCCATTCTATTGATTTCTGCAATGACTGTCATTCAATAAATTGCTGTTTTCAGTTTATAATGCATGAACAAATATTTATCATCTTGGTTTAAACATTGTTTTGAATTTCTTTTTAAATATATGATCTTGCATATTAATAGAATATAATCATATTTTATTCAAACAAGTTTCTTATAAATATATGGTTATCTTTTAATTATTTATAACAGCATTTGACAGCATCACTTCAATATAATGTTGCAGTAATATTGAGAGCAGTGTTTGCTAACTCTTGTAATATTACTGGGATATCAGAACATCATTTTCAGACATTGTTAATGGCAACAGAGAAAATTAACGATGAAAAAGTTCATTTACTAGTCACTCAATGTATTGCTGTTATATTAAATAAGATGGATGATGAAGCACAGTTAACTGAATGGAGTAAGTCAATAACATCCAATTTAATAACTATTTTAAATGAAGAGAGGAATTCTAATCAAGAAAAAGCAGCAGTAATGTGGATTTGGATTACCAAAGCTTTACTTCTCAGAGGATATTTGCAAATTGATTATTTAATTTCACATGTGAGTAAAAAACAAAAGTAAAAATTTAAATTCAGTTTTAATTGAATTAGATATGTAAAATATTATCAATTTTAATGTAAAAATATATCTGCATGCCATATTTTAATAGTTAATATCATGGCTTGGTCACAAAATAATTGGAAAAATCATTGCTGATGGATTTTCAACAATTTTAGAAGAAATTCCAGAGGTAAACAATATTACATTTTTTCTTTCAATTAATTTTTGAATTTTTTATATAGTCAAAATGTGCATGGTTATTTAAATTCATAATCAGTTAAACAGTATTTTGTAAAACATTATTTACTTGGATTAAATTCTCAGCTAACAGCACAATTATTATTTTTAAAATATATATATCCTGATTAGTGTAATGTGATATGATTTTCCAAATAATTAGTTTATTTCTATAAATTTTTATTCAGAACAATAACTTAGTATTTATTGCATATTTTTTACTGTACATTTGAAGTGTTGAAATTTTAAATTATGTCTAGCAATTAAAATGTAATTCTTAGATATTGATAATTGAATATACATTCATTTAGTAATATTGAAGGACTGCTGAATGTATGTTCTGAGCTGGTGAAACTCACTGTTGAATCTCAAAATTTATAAATCAGTATTCTTTTATTGTTCTTCTGGTCTGCAATGATAAATAATATAGATTTATATGATGGCAATTTAAACTTAACCACAGAAAGTAATTTGAAGTTGTCAGCCAAAAATTCAAATCACATAAATTAAAAAGATTTATGTATTAGAATATTTACTGTTTCTGCCAATCTATAAAAAAATTTTATATTTATATGAGAGAATTTTTGGGAAAGAATTTTAGTACATTTTACAATATGTATATTTATTGAAAATTATTTTAAATTAAACTTCCCCAACTCAGAGGGCTTCGAAGAGTGTTCTGCTGCCTGAAATGAAACAACATTTGGACAACGGGTACTTCAGATGATGTGCTTGCCATTATATTTAATAAAACTTTTTATACAAAAAGTCACTGATAGGTGTCATTGGAGAATGGTATCTTAATATGCAACAACTTTTTGATCCCAGATCTTCAATAAAGCTTTCAAGATACCATATTCATGAAAGATGGTGCACCATCCCATATCCCTTGCTCTGTTCAATGTGTGTTAAGACAGATTTTCATGGATGAATGGGTGATCAGTCATTATTTCCCAATAGCTTGGCTTCCTTGTTCACCTAATTTTACCCCATATGATTTCTGGCTATGGGATTTTTTGAAAGACCAGGTCTGTTGTGAAAGATGTGCATTTGTGTCAGATGTAAAGGACAGAGTTTATTGGCATGTTCTTGTAATTAAAAGTGGATTCATTGTGTTCATCAGTGAAAAACATCTTTTGTGAATGGAGCACATATTGAACATTTGTAACCATGATTTGTGTAGCTCCAGTGCCACCTATCAGTGACTTCTTGTACGAAAAATTTTTATTTAATAAGTGAAGTGACGTTTAAACAGTACAATATGTACTCAATTGGCAACCAACTCGGTGCACCAATAACATTAACAAAGTTCAGATAGCTCAATTAGTTCGTCGAGAAGGCACCTTGTGACGATTTGGTGTAATGAAGACTAGTAGCAATCTTGTGTTGTTTTCTGGATGTCTTAAAGTCCCTGGACAAAACTTGGACGAGCTTGTTGGCTTGCTTGAAGATCTATGACGAACTTGATGTCAACCTGAAGTTTCCAAAACTGAACTTGAATCTCACACTTCCACATCAATCTTATATAGCTGTGGACAGTGGGATGGATGACCAATTAGCAGTTACTGGGCCGTTGCTCTGTTGGAGGTCTGTGGCATGACGCAACCCCTGGCTAACCATCTCTGACCTGAGATGCGCCACTAATTCAAACACAACAGTCGCCTCCTCAACGGTCTTTTCTTGGCCATTACCAGTTTTAAAAAAGCAGGAATCATGTTCTTACACGATTCAACACCAACAAATGGCAAGCGCATCATTTGAAGTAACTGTTGTCCAAATGTTGTTTTATTTCAGTCAGTAGAACAATCTCCAGAGCCCTGTGAGTTGGGGAAGTTTAGTTTTGACAACCCTGTATTTTCAAGGAACAAGTAATGATACATTCAATTATTTCAATAATTTTGATATAAAAATAATAGATGAATATAGTTAATATATATATGCTGCACAGAGAATGTTCAGAGTTAAAGTTCATATTTCAAAAAGATATAACTCAGGAACTAACCAGCAGAATGACATCATTATATTTCAAATGGAGACTTCTGTTACGATGGAATTTTATTTGAAAATGAGAAAAGTTAGTTGCTAAAACATCTATTAGGATGGTAAATGGTGCTGCAACACCATAGTGAATAACTCAAATAATCTGAAAACTAACAATACTTACTGTAAGCAGTGTTCTTATGCATCAGACGTGCTTGATATGTTGGCCTCCAAAATTCTTAGTCTTGTCATTGAATGTATGATTTGGCAATTTCAGCATATTGCCAATAATGGAGGCCATCATATCAATCATGCTGCTGTGTAACTATGCAGTGTACCATGTGTATTGTAATTTTTGAGACAATTTGAGCTAATACTATGGTGTTGCAGCACCATTTATCATTCTAGTAAACACTTTTGTAAGTATTTTTTATGTTCACAAATAAAATCCCTTGACTACAGAAGTCTCCACGTGAAATATAATGTCAATCTGTTGATTAGTTTCCAAATTACATCTTCTTGAAATGAAAACTTTAATTACAAACATCCTGTATATATTTCATAGCCATATACTAAAATCTGTTAATTTTGACAAATGTCTTTAAGATCATCAAATTGAAAACCAAATTGAAATTTTTGAAATTTATTCAATATTTGTCAAACATGAAAAGTGGTTACAATGAGATTTTTGAACATTTTATAAGTTGATTCTTTTTTTGTCAATTTACAAGTCTGACTTTTGAATTATATGACTATACAGTTGACCCCCTATAACACTGTTGATAATTCTGTTTTATATGAATTCCATGTTGTACGAGTCACTTAGATTTTACAAATATGTGTGCTGGGCTGTGTATATGTAAAATCTAAGTGACTCGTACAACATGGAATTCATATAAAATGGAACTATCAACAGTGTTATAGGGGGGTTGACTGTATTTCTCTTTTCTTTGTGTAGGCCTAATTAAATTTGTTCTATTACCCATATGTGTTTAGTGTAGCATTCTCTGGTTATATGTTAATTTTTTTGCTGCTATTCATTATGAACAACTCTTCAGCTGTTCTAGAAGGAAGAACTGGATATACAGAGTATTTCACTGATGCTTACTTTCAGTCAATTTCTGAATTCTTCTTTTAAACATATTCTGCAAATAAATATAGTGTTTTTGTTTCTTATATCATTCCTGTTTTTAATTTATTCACAGTGACCTAAATGTAATGCTTATATAATAAAGTTTAATCATCCCACTATCGACTAAATTAAATCTGGCAATATTATTGTCTAATTTCTAATTGCAGCATAATATTGCCTGATTAATTTGGCTGATGGTTGGATGATTAATAATACATCAGGTTATTGAGATGTTTATATATAATAAAGTTTGTTGTCCAATAACATTTTAGCAAGTGGAATTTTATACATACCTGGAGATTCTTTTTGTTAACTAAATTAAAGATTGAATGTTCTTTAAAAGTAATTATTCTCACTGACATTACTGTACACCAGTCATGGGCAACCCACAGTGCAAGAGATCTTAATATCATGGCTTTGTCAAAGTAATTTTATTTTTCTGTTTTCTTCCTTGTGCCATTATGCAACCCCAATTAAGCTAATATTTGTAATAAGGAGTATTCAAACTAAAATTGACCAGTGAGATGATAAGATTAAACTAGATATTACTTTGCATATCATTATTACATGTTATTTTAAAACCTAGTGTACTAGTAGTTATGGATATGTATGTTGATATTTAGCAAGGTTAAAAGGTACAACTTAAGAAAAAAAATGCATATGGCCCAGCAGAAGTTCACTTGTGACCCACATTCAGAAAAGGTTGTTCATTAATTCTGTAGACTTTTCAGAATATCTTAATAGCTGCCAGGNTTTTCATTTTTTTTTTTTTTTTTTTTTTTTTTTTTTTTTTTTTTTTTGTCTTGTGTAAATTTGATCATTTATTTGTATCACTATCAGTAATATGTGGAATAAATTTCATTAATTTCTGACAATATCTTCATGGTGTTGCAATTTTCACAAACATGAGTGTACATTTTAATTTGTGAATCTTAAATTCTTTTTCTATAGTAAATGTTTTGGTATATACTGACTGATCTTGGTCTTAATGCTAATTATTGTTAATACTGTATATTTGTTAAATAATAATCATTATTTAACAAATATACAGTAATTATTTTATTTATTAACAGAAAATAATCCATATAAGAAGCATCAAAGGTCTCTGGTTGGATTATATTGTTTCTCACTTAATATGAATAATGAACAACTATTATCATCAGCAATTAAAGGATTGAAAATAATTTTATCAATAAAAGATATGATTGGAAAAGATTATCTAAATCCCATTACAGAATGCATTTTAACAATTGCAATTTCTAATAAACCATCTACAACAAGGTCAGATATGTGTTTGTGTGTATGTATGCATATATAATTTAAAAAAATTATTGTTATGAGAAGTGTTTTAAGAATTTTTTCCTTCTTGTAGGACAAACTGTATTGAATTATTATCTGTTTATTCAACTTATTATCCAGTTGAAGTTAAAGAAAAAATTCTTCCTCATCTATTCCATGAAGTTGCAAAAGGTAAGAACTATTTTTGTGTCAGACCTGAATATTCATGTTCATTATTTTTGTGTGTAAGCTAAACATAAGTATTAGATTGGGCTTAGTCATCTATGAACTGTTGTAAGTGAGAAGTGGTCATTCACTACCCTTAATTTGATTTGGAGTAAACCTTTCATTTCAGTAACTAATATGTTAACTAATATGCAAACATATAGAATAACTATTTAATTTGAATATTGTACTAGGATATTCATAAAGTTGAATGAGTCAAACAAATTACTAATGAGACAGTCATAAAATATTTCTTATCTTCATTGCCCATGTTCTGTATTGATGACATTTCAAATGAAACCTTAATGTAAACTAATTTTTTTTTTGTGAATTTTATCATAAAGAAAATGGTATCTGACAATATTGATATTTCTAAATTCACTCAGAGTACAGAATATGGATTAAAAGGCAAACTAACACAAATAATTGCCCTTGTGCCCAATCAGAGAAAAACATTTCAAATATGACTGCACTAATAACATTCATGGATTCAATCCTTAGACACCAGCCATTTTGTACAAAAACTGGACAAAATGTCCAGCAAACATAAACATAATAATAACATTATTCTTTTATTTTCTTGTTGGAATCACCAGCTATATTTCAATTTACACAAGGTAGTTACACTTCAACACAACATGAAGTTCACTTTTAAAGACTAATGGCCTATAATGACAGCACAAAACATCTAATGTAATGTACCAGTCCTTATCATTTTCTGTATGTATCAGTGTGAAATATGTTTCATATCATGTTTGTGTACTTTTGTTTTTAAGGAGACAGTTGATTCAATACAAATTACTGATGAGGGGCCATAAAATGTAAGTTGACCCAAAATGCATGTAGTTATGTGTGTAATCAACCAAATAAACATAATTAAACTGTAAGGTTTTGATCATTAAATTACCTGCATTCCTAAACACCTTCAGACACAGTATTATGTAATTCTCAAGAAGTTTCTAATTAACATTATTCTTGTTTAACTCACATGACTTCATCAATGTGTACCCTAAATTAGAGAATTAAAATGATTACTTAAATTGAATAGTTAGAAATAAATAAGTTAACCTCCTATGATATTTGCTTATATTAATTGTAATTAATTGATACTATATTTGGAAAACATGAGCATATTTTGATATTGTCATTTAAAATGTTTAATAGTATAGCATTTGATGTTTTATTTGCATATTCTAAATTAATTTTCTGATATATTTTATTAATAAAAATATTCCAATTGAATGAAATTTTTAAAAGTTTAAATATAATAAAAACTGTTTGATATAGATATGACTATTAAGTAATAATTAGACAGCAGATTAGGCAGAAATGCTTATTTTTCCCTTAGCATATACATGGCTAAGATTTTGTACTAACTACTACAGTGAACATTTCTTCGATATAAAAAACTTCTGGCCACTTTAGTGGACAATGCAGTTTGTGTAACTAAAGCCAAGAAAATTTTGAATGACATTTATGTTTAGAACAAGTTGGTGTACATCAAGTGTTATTTCACATTTATTGCAAATACTATTACTGCTCTTGAAAGTATTGGGAAACCTATATATGAACAAATTGATCTCCTCAACAGAGCAAACCAGAAACTTTGTGATGCACCAGGCACTGCTGCAAAAAAAGTGAAGAAAGAGTGCTTCAAAAGAGACTTAGATTAAATTGCTTGTTTGTTGTGGCTGATATTTTGGCAGGAAAGAAGAGCAAAACTGAAAGTGAATTCCCAGTTCCTCTTCTTCCAAGGTTGAAATACTGTCCATTATCTTCAGATGTGGAATACTTTTTCTTTGCATATAAATTAATTTTCAGTGACAAATGTTGCAACTTTTCTAGTGAAAATTTGGAAAAAGTGCTTGTAATATATTATGATGCTAACTATGGGAAACAGAGCAAATAAAAAATGTAAAGATAATTGTTTGTCTACTTTTGTGTTTGCATCATTCTGGATACGTGCATTTTTTGTTTGGAATACATATGTTAAATAAAAAATTCATTGTTTGATAAGTAGGTTAATTGTTCATTGTGCAAATTTTGACTGCCTATTTTTTGTTTATAAAGCCTAAACGACGCAATTTAAGAGCTTATTTTAAGCGTCTAAAATGCCACTTTTAAGCGCCTAGATGTCCGCTGTCTAGTAATAATATACAAATACAAAATTTCAAGTACATACTGTACATTTAACTAAAACAATATTTTTATATGTCAAAAAATTAACTTAATTTAACAAGTTATTAAATATGTGAGCTGAAAACATGATTTAAAATTAATTAAAAGTAATTATGTTTTAATAATGTATTAATGTTTTAATTAACCTTGGTTGATATCTGAGCCATCAATCATATAACTTCAACTAAGAAAATGTAGAAAATTATCAAATTATGATGAGAAAAATAGAGTGAAAACTCAGTTTTATAAGTGATAATTTAGTGTAATTTAGATTTGAGTAATTTTAATATTCTAAAATATTTTCTTTAAAATCTATTACATTAAATTTGTAGTCACTTCCACGGTTGAAACTACAAGACTTCAGACATTATTAGAATTTGTTACTGCTGCAAGTATTCATCACATTACATCATCTGAAATCATTTCTAAATTTTTGACTTACTTGAGAGGTAGGAATTTATCTTATATGTTTTAAAGCAATATTTTATTGTTTTAGAATATATTTCAAATAAAATTTATGAAATTAAAAAAATCTAATTTCAGATCTTTATACTGAAAATGTATTGCAATGTATTGCAAATTCATTATTACAAATAACTAAGAATCTTGTACAATCTCCAGAAGAAATTCATTATTTATACAAATCTTATTTTGAAATGTTGCAAGAGAAAGTAATTACAACTTATAAAATGAAGCAAGAAAGTTTTAGTTCTGCCGTATCAGATATATTAGGTAGAGTTGTACAAATTGTTATTCAAAAGTTAGATTTAAGGTGTGTATAAATAATTACTCTTTCAATTATTTTTAATCTTGCATCATCGGAATTGACATGTTTTTATTTTATAGTTTAACAGAAATTTTAATGTCTTATATTTTGAAGAATCTTTCTTTCTTAATGAATTCTTATGATTCTCAGGTAAGTTATACTTCAAAATATAATTAATAAATGAATTCATTTACAGGAGAAAATATATTTATTAGAAATATATATTTTTTATTTATGTATGCTGCTTTGTTTTAATTATAGATATTAAGGAATGTTAATTGTTATATACAATACAGATTATTTGAGAAAGATCTTTGTTGTTATACAAATTCATAACACAAAAACAAAATAATCTATTAAAATATGATTTGTTGTAAAGGAAGAATAAATCAAAACGTTTTTTATTAGTATACATTCAATAAACATATGAATTTCATAGATTCCTACAGAAAACTTTTCTAATCTGTTTCATAAATTCATCTGATGTCAAAGGACAGTTGTAATTTTTTGAGTGCTGAATACTTCCTGTGTTTAAATTTCTGCATCCAAGCATAAATTAAAGGGACACTTAAGTGTGCCTTTTTCATACTTTATGGAATACTTTCTTTGCACATGTAGTGATTTTGTTTCAGCTAACCACATTATATATTGTGTTTTTTCCTGTATTATTATCATTTTTAATTCTGCAGGTTTTTTGCATTTGTGCTAAAAGAACTTATTAAGTTCTTGCTTTACCTCAAACTGCATTTCAGTAGACTGCTTTGTTTTTGTATTATGAATTTGTCTAATAATAAAGGTCTTTCTTGGACATTTTGCTTATCTTGATTACAAACATTATTTTCAAATATGCTTTATTGAGTTTTTTAATAAAATTATTTTACTTAATATATTTTATTTTTATAACTGCATGCAATTTTCATATGTTCTTCCATTCTATTGATTTCTGCAATGACTGTCATTCAATAAATTGCTGTTTTCAGTTTATAATGCATGAACAAATATTTATCATCTTGGTTTAAACATTGTTTTGAATTTCTTTTTAAATATATGATCTTGCATATTAATAGAATATAATCATATTTTATTCAAACAAGTTTCTTATAAATATATGGTTATCTTTTAATTATTTATAACAGCATTTGACAGCATCACTTCAATATAATGTTGCAGTAATATTGAGAGCAGTGTTTGCTAACTCTTGTAATATTACTGGGATATCAGAACATCATTTTCAGACATTGTTAATGGCAACAGAGAAAATTAACGATGAAAAAGTTCATTTACTAGTCACTCAATGTATTGCTGTTATATTAAATAAGATGGATGATGAAGCACAGTTAACTGAATGGAGTAAGTCAATAACATCCAATTTAATAACTATTTTAAATGAAGAGAGGAATTCTAATCAAGAAAAAGCAGCAGTAATGTGGATTTGGATTACCAAAGCTTTACTTCTCAGAGGATATTTGCAAATTGATTATTTAATTTCACATGTGAGTAAAAAACAAAAGTAAAAATTTAAATTCAGTTTTAATTGAATTAGATATGTAAAATATTATCAATTTTAATGTAAAAATATATCTGCATGCCATATTTTAATAGTTAATATCATGGCTTGGTCACAAAATAATTGGAAAAATCATTGCTGATGGATTTTCAACAATTTTAGAAGAAATTCCAGAGGTAAACAATATTACATTTTTTCTTTCAATTAATTTTTGAATTTTTTATATAGTCAAAATGTGCATGGTTATTTAAATTCATAATCAGTTAAACAGTATTTTGTAAAACATTATTTACTTGGATTAAATTCTCAGCTAACAGCACAATTATTATTTTTAAAATATATATATCCTGATTAGTGTAATGTGATATGATTTTCCAAATAATTAGTTTATTTCTATAAATTTTTATTCAGAACAATAACTTAGTATTTATTGCATATTTTTTACTGTACATTTGAAGTGTTGAAATTTTAAATTATGTCTAGCAATTAAAATGTAATTCTTAGATATTGATAATTGAATATACATTCATTTAGTAATATTGAAGGACTGCTGAATGTATGTTCTGAGCTGGTGAAACTCACTGTTGAATCTCAAAATTTATAAATCAGTATTCTTTTATTGTTCTTCTGGTCTGCAATGATAAATAATATAGATTTATATGATGGCAATTTAAACTTAATCACAGAAAGTAATTTGAAGTTGTCAGCCAAAAATTCAAATCACATAAATTAAAAAGATTTATGTATTAGAATATTTACTGTTTCTGCCAATCTATAAAAAAATTTTATATTTATATGAGAGAATTTTTGGGAAAGAATTTTAGTACATTTTACAATATGTATATTTATTGAAAATTATTTTAAATTAAACTTCCCCAACTCAGAGGGCTTCGAAGAGTGTTCTGCTGCCTGAAATGAAACAACATTTGGACAACGGGTACTTCAGATGATGTGCTTGCCATTATATTTAATAAAACTTTTTATACAAAAAGTCACTGATAGGTGTCATTGGAGAATGGTATCTTAATATGCAACAACTTTTTGATCCCAGATCTTCAATAAAGCTTTCAAGATACCATATTCATGAAAGATGGTGCACCATCCCATATCCCTTGCTCTGTTCAATGTGTGTTAAGACAGATTTTCATGGATGAATGGGTGATCAGTCATTATTTCCCAATAGCTTGGCTTCCTTGTTCACCTAATTTTACCCCATATGATTTCTGGCTATGGGATTTTTTGAAAGACCAGGTCTGTTGTGAAAGATGTGCATTTGTGTCAGATGTAAAGGACAGAGTTTATTGGCATGTTCTTGTAATTAAAAGTGGATTCATTGTGTTCATCAGTGAAAAACATCTTTTGTGAATGGAGCACATATTGAACATTTGTAACCATGATTTGTGTAGCTCCAGTGCCACCTATCAGTGACTTCTTGTACGAAAAATTTTTATTTAATAAGTGAAGTGACGTTTAAACAGTACAATATGTACTCAATTGGCAACCAACTCGGTGCACCAATAACATTAACAAAGTTCAGATAGCTCAATTAGTTCGTCGAGAAGGCACCTTGTGACGATTTGGTGTAATGAAGACTAGTAGCAATCTTGTGTTGTTTTCTGGATGTCTTAAAGTCCCTGGACAAAACTTGGACGAGCTTGTTGGCTTGCTTGAAGATCTATGACGAACTTGATGTCAACCTGAAGTTTCCAAAACTGAACTTGAATCTCACACTTCCACATCAATCTTATATAGCTGTGGACAGTGGGATGGATGACCAATTAGCAGTTACTGGGCCGTTGCTCTGTTGGAGGTCTGTGGCATGACGCAACCCCTGGCTAACCATCTCTGACCTGAGATGCGCCACTAATTCAAACACAACAGTCGCCTCCTCAACGGTCTTTTCTTGGCCATTACCAGTTTTAAAAAAGCAGGAATCATGTTCTTACACGATTCAACACCAACAAATGGCAAGCGCATCATTTGAAGTAACTGTTGTCCAAATGTTTTATTTCAGTCAGTAGAACAATCTCCAGAGCCCTGTGAGTTGGGGAAGTTTAGTTTTGACAACCCTGTATTTTCAAGGAACAAGTAATGATACATTCAATTATTTCAATAATTTTGATATAAAAATAATAGATGAATATAGTTAATATATATATGCTGCACAGAGAATGTTCAGAGTTAAAGTTCATATTTCAAAAAGATATAACTCAGGAACTAACCAGCAGAATGACATCATTATATTTCAAATGGAGACTTCTGTTACGATGGAATTTTATTTGAAAATGAGAAAAGTTAGTTGCTAAAACATCTATTAGGATGGTAAATGGTGCTGCAACACCATAGTGAATAACTCAAATAATCTGAAAACTAACAATACTTACTGTAAGCAGTGTTCTTATGCATCAGACGTGCTTGATATGTTGGCCTCCAAAATTCTTAGTCTTGTCATTGAATGTATGATTTGGCAATTTCAGCATATTGCCAATAATGGAGGCCATCATATCAATCATGCTGCTGTGTAACTATGCAGTGTACCATGTGTATTGTAATTTTTGAGACAATTTGAGCTAATACTATGGTGTTGCAGCACCATTTATCATTCTAGTAAACACTTTTGTAAGTATTTTTTATGTTCACAAATAAAATCCCTTGACTACAGAAGTCTCCACGTGAAATATAATGTCAATCTGTTGATTAGTTTCCAAATTACATCTTCTTGAAATGAAAACTTTAATTACAAACATCCTGTATATATTTCATAGCCATATACTAAAATCTGTTAATTTTGACAAATGTCTTTAAGATCATCAAATTGAAAACCAAATTGAAATTTTTGAAATTTATTCAATATTTGTCAAACATGAAAAGTGGTTACAATGAGATTTTTGAACATTTTATAAGTTGATTCTTTTTTTGTCAATTTACAAGTCTGACTTTTGAATTATATGACTATACAGTTGACCCCCTATAACACTGTTGATAATTCTGTTTTATATGAATTCCATGTTGTACGAGTCACTTAGATTTTACAAATATGTGTGCTGGGCTGTGTATATGTAAAATCTAAGTGACTCGTACAACATGGAATTCATATAAAATGGAACTATCAACAGTGTTATAGGGGGGTTGACTGTATTTCTCTTTTCTTTGTGTAGGCCTAATTAAATTTGTTCTATTACCCATATGTGTTTAGTGTAGCATTCTCTGGTTATATGTTAATTTTTTTGCTGCTATTCATTATGAACAACTCTTCAGCTGTTCTAGAAGGAAGAACTGGATATACAGAGTATTTCACTGATGCTTACTTTTAGTCAATTTCTGAATTCTTCTTTTAAACATATTCTGCAAATAAATATACTGTTTTTGTTTCTTATATCATTCCTGTTTTTAATTTATTCACAGTGACCTAAATGTAATGCTTATATAATAAAGTTTAATCATCCCACTATCGACTAAATTAAATCTGGCAATATTATTGTCTAATTTCTAATTGCAGCATAATATTGCCTGATTAATTTGGCTGATGGTTGGATGATTAATAATACATCAGGTTATTGAGATGTTTATATATAATAAAGTTTGTTGTCCAATAACATTTTAGCAAGTGGAATTTTATACATACCTGGAGATTCTTTTTGTTAACTAAATTAAAGATTGAATGTTCTTTAAAAGTAATTATTCTCACTGACATTACTGTACACCAGTCATGGGCAACCCACAGTGCAAGAGATCTTAATATCATGGCTTTGTCAAAGTAATTTTATTTTTCTGTTTTCTTCCTTGTGCCATTATGCAACCCCAATTAAGCTAATATTTGTAATAAGGAGTATTCAAACTAAAATTGACCAGTGAGATGATAAGATTAAACTAGATATTACTTTGCATATCATTATTACATGTTATTTTAAAACCTAGTGTACTAGTAGTTATGGATATGTATGTTGATATTTAGCAAGGTTAAAAGGTACAACTTAAGAAAAAAAATGCATATGGCCCAGCAGAAGTTCACTTGTGACCCACATTCAGAAAAGGTTGTTCATTAATTCTGTAGACTTTTCAGAATATCTTAATAGCTGCCAGGACCATTTTAAATATTTTGGAATTTAATAATAATAATAATAATAATAACTCTCTCGTGGTCACCACCTAGTTGTGGTGGAAGAGCCCAATAATTTTACTGATCCATAGGGCAATGCAGGCTGGAGCACAAGCTCCTGGTGGGACACCCATGCCAGTAAGGTCTATGGGGAGAAATGAAGCTAAGAGTGACCACACTCTTAGCTTCATTTCTACCAGCTCAGACATCGCCTGGGTTAACAAGGTCCACATTTGTGGGTTAGGCAGAAGCTCACATTTGAAAAATAGGCCACAGTCTCCCTTGCTTACCGGTGGCAAAAGCAGTGCCGGCCCAAGCATGCTGCAATGTCCTCAACAGATGTGAGGAATCAACCTTCTGTGGCAATGCATCCACAGACCACAAATGCTGGAAAACCACGCCAATGGATGAAATGGACAACAGAAATGAACGAGTTTATCATCTGTACTTACTACACCATCACAAGTCTCGAAACAAACATGACAGCATACAGACAACAACTACACTATAGATTCACGCAACAATATCCTCACCTCACTGAGCAAAGGGTTGTTGATCAAAAAAGAACAATTATACACAACAACCTTATCCCACAAACAACACTTGAACTTATCAAACAACAGGTTGCTGAGCAAATACATCAACAGACAGAAACATTTAATATTATTAATGAAGATCACGTAACCTGTCAGGATAATCCAGCAACAAGCATTGATAATAACATACATACAACAACTACCACTAATGATACTACAGGCACTTCCTCATCCATCACTGATAACATAGACATAGAATTAGTTAATATGCTCTCACTTATATTTCAGGAAACAATCACTAAATATACAGGCACAGATCCCACACAAAGACCATGAATACTGAAAATCAACATGTCAAAGGAAGTAGGAAAAACATTAAATTATGTAAACATTCACTTACTACCAGACTACATTTATTCAATTTCTACACTCAGACATTCATACATTAGTTTATGCTGGGGCAGTCACAGTAGTAAATTTCGTGGACAAAATACAATCGCAGACAGATACACACAAAACACAATTCTATCACAAGCCTGCC